CACTGAAAACAAAAACTTAATGAGCATTTCTAGGATGGCATTCTCACCTGATTAAGCATCCATTTCAAACCAACTGCAGCTGTGCACTCATTCTTAGAAGCACTAGTCAACCAATCTAGATTATAAATTTTATCCAAAGTCTCAACAATTGACGAGAAATTACTCCTCCTTACTTTAACCGAGAAAATCTCCCCGTTCGAGCTTATATTGGTATGATTATTTAATAAAGTCTCAAACCACCCACTGCCCTATCGCTGCATTGACAGAATGGCAAAATACCGTACAGGATTGCACTTACATTCAGCCCTAACAACACACATAGAAACCATGTCAAACACATTTTTCATCTAAACCAAACTAAGGAGCAATAAAACCAATATCTACCTGCTAAACGTTTTCGGTTTCGGGTAATGCACATAAGGAATTTCCCATGGCTCGATATTAGGCACAGGACAAGGTCTATCAATCACTTGAATATTCAACAATTCAGTATTGGTTCGGTTGCTGATTTGCTTTATACAAATTGAGCATATATACACACCGCACACCATTACAAACATCAAGACAATCATCCTCAGCACCAGTGGAGACTTCTTAGGAGACTTCAAAATAAAAGCATCCTGTAACTTCAAGCATTTTCCACATGTAAAAATAGTAACAAATTCTTAACCGTATCATTAAAGTCTTAACCTTTCATTGATCACGTTTAATATCAATTAATAAAGCTACAATAAATCTAAACCTAAACAAAAATCCTGAATAAAAGGAAATCTGGGTTTGCTTGTGTTCACAAAAAGAAACCCGAAAAAAAAGGAAACAAAAACAAATTGTTTTAATATTTCAAACCCAGATCACAGCTCTCACATGTGAACCCAAATTGTAATAAAATAAAAAAGAAAACAACAAATAAACCCTGAACAATAATACAAGCATACCTTGGTGAAGGAACAGAGATCGTCCGCCATGGCTTTGAAAAGCTCAAAAAGGCATGTGTTAGCTCAGATTTTCAGCTGCCTCCTTTCCACCTTTTACTCAAAACTTTTTTCATTCAATCCATAAATAGATTTTAAAGACAACTGAAAAAGAGGTAAAAAAAAATCCTCGTTTTAGAACAAATTAAAGACCGTTACAAAGTCCACTTTGTGTTCGTGTTCGCTTTGGTTTTTAATTCATAGATCTTGTAGTCTGCTACTGGTACAGGCAATCATAACTCCGGGACTGAAACGCAGTCGTTTTGGAAAGTTAAATTAACAATTTTTGGGGGGGGGGGGAGGCGGGGGGGCGTTTTAACTTTGTGATGATGAAATGTCGTGTAAATTATTGCATCCATCTAGAACTTTTTGGTTAGGTTTGTAACGGCATTTTACTTTTATTTATTATTTATTATTTATTTTTATTACTTTTTAAAATCTCACTTTCTATAAAAAAATTGGACGCGTGTCTTGGTGCTTGATTGCCGAAAGTGTTAATAATAATAAATATTATTATTATAATGGGAAATATTTGTAAACCCCCAACAATAGAGAAAGTACACAAACCCCCCCTCATGGTTTTCGGAAATAGCTCTAAATCCATCTTGTTAGAGAGCAATTAGCATGTTATTAATCGGTGTATCAAATGTTATCCAATTTGGACACACTGTCTTTATGATTTTACTTTTGACCATTATAATTAGGGTTAACGACTTTTTCCTACCAAAATAATGATTTAATGACACTTTCCCACCCACAGACATTTAAAATATCATTTTACTATCCAAATTTATATTCCAACAGCGAATAAAGATCAAACTTGGTTTAGGTTGTTAGGTTTTTGAAGAGGGGAGACCGATAAGTCTTTTGATGGTAGAAAATTAGATTTTGGGGGATGGGATTGATCGAGATTTGACTTAGGGGGATAGTTGCACAAACCCCAATCGTTCGATTGTTGACAATTAGCGAGATCGGCAAGAGTAAGATTTTAGGGGTTTTTATGAGTGATGATCGAAGAAGAGAATGATAGTTGTATAAGGTAACAATGATGTCGGAATTAGAAATGAAATATAAATTTAGATAATAAAATGATATTTTAAAAGTTTATGGATGAGAAAATGTCATTAAACTATTATTTGGGTAGGAAAAAGTTGTTTACCCTTTATAATTAAAACACAGATTAAGACACAACCTAACTAATACTATATATTTGTTTAAGTTCTTCTTCTAATGATGTGAGACTCTTACTCAACGGGCCTCGACTAGGCACCACTCATGATATTGGTTGTTGAGTGTTGACTAACAATAAGGGAATTCAGGGCTATTTCTTAAAGTATAGGGGTTAGTTGTATTTCTATTGTAGTTAGGGGTTTTAGATTGATTTTCCCTTATTTTTTATTTGGTATTTATTAGGTTGCAATCTAACTTGTTAGACTAAATGACATGACTTGTATTAATACCTAAATCTAAGTTAATTTAAACAAAAATTTGTTATGCATTTAATTTTCTAAGCTGTCGGTGATAGCCATGTTTTTAAAGGGTCAAACTGTTTTTTTGGGTTGAAATAAAAGAGAAGATTTTTATAAAAATAAATAAACATGGGAAAAATATTTAAAAGCCCAAGCCCATTTGTGGACTTCTTGGACCAAAACAATTGGAATGTTCATAAATAAAAAGCCCAAGTCTATTTGCAAGGGCCCAAGCCCATTAATAAACTAACTCCCTTGTGTCCAGATGGTAGACCATTGGGCTCGGTTTATCAATGGACTTAGAGATCTCGTGTTCAATTCACCAAGGAAATGACCACCTACCATATTTGTGACTTACCCGGTTCATTGGGTTTTTAAGGTATTCAATGGGTCCTGAGGACTAGACAGGTTTGGTGAATCCTGAGTTCGACTTGAAATGGACCTTGAGGAAAGTAGAAGCCCGGAAACCTATCATTAAAAAAAAAAAAAAAAAGGTTTACGAATAAGAGGCCACTAAGGAAGAGAATCAAGCATGAGTTGTTTATTAATTTGTCTTTTGATAGAATTTGAGGTGGACTTGACTCCTCATCCAATAAAGTCTTGTTGAATGGAAGGATTATCCTCTCTTATAAACCAGTAGGCTTGAGGGTGCATAGTCGGTATGGGACTCTAACACTCTCCCTCACGGTCAAGCCCATATGTTGAGTCATGCCTGTTATTGAAGGTAGTTGTCGGTTTTAACTTCTCATCCGCTGATCAAGCACTCAACTTAACTGAACCTAAGCTCTGATACCATGATATAATTTAAGATGGGTCTGACTCCTCACCCAATAAGACATGGTTGAATGTGAAGATTACCCCTTCTTATAAACTAGTAGGCTTGAGCATACCTAATCGATGTGGGACTCCAACACGTTTTAATGATCAAATGTCACTCAATTAATCTTGACCTAAATTGCATATTAAAGGGAAAAATAGAGAGAGTTTACATTACTTCATTGAATGCTTTGTTTTCATTCAAAGTCCACTACCCAAAAGTTATAAAATCTTTATATATAAATTCACATAAATTATTCTGAACTTGAGACCAATTCTTGCTTCAACTTTCATCATTGTTGCTCAAGACAAGAATTAAGAAACACTTGAAAAATTGTTGTAGAAAATACCCAATGGTAGATATATAAATCATAAATTAAAAGAACATGAATAAAAATATATTTACCAATGGTTAATTAAACCTATTATTTATTTTTTTGGTAATCCGATAATTTTATAAGGAATAAAAAATATCAACCTAAACAGAAGCTTTCGCTTTAACATCAAAATAATTTTATAAGGAATAAAGAATATCAACCTAAACAAAGGGCTTCGCTTTAGCGTCAAGACCTTTGTTTTAAAAACCGGACAGGACTGGTTGGTCGGACTGGGACCCGATAGCTTCTTTGGTCTGGTTCAGGTCTTATGGGGTTTTTGTAATATTTCAAAGTTATAAGGGTTAATTTGTACTTTTATAGGGGTGTTTTGGAGATATGTCAAAAGTTTATGGATTAATTGGTATTTTTTGGGGGGTATTTTGGAAATAAATAAAAATTTTAGAGACTAATTTGAACTTTTTAAAGAAATTTTTGTAATATATTAAAATTTAAAAGATTAATATATAATTTTTTTAAAATAAAATTGTCGCTAACATCATTGGTCCAATTGGTCAGTCCAACCAGTTAGATCGGTTGACTCGTGACCCAGGCAACAAAATGGGTTATCCTCCCATCCGGATTTTAAAACAATGGTCAAGACCCTTGAAAGAAGATCAAGGGACCAAACAACTCAAAAAGACACAGTGAGAACTAAGGATATACCGCTGTGTCCACCCGTCCACAAGTCCACAAACTGCAAAAATCTGAACTTTATAATGAGAGAGATTCATACCACTCGGAAATTTTTATATTACTTAAAAGAATCAATAAATTAACTTAATTTTAATACCCATTTTCTTATATTATTATTATTATTATTTTTCTATTTCCACAGGATGCTCAGCGGTCAATTGGAACTCTTAGGTATATTATTCAAGAAATCTTGAGTTTGATCTATTTAGATTACTAATAGAGGTGGTCACTGATACTCTTGGATGTATTACTCAGTAAATATTAAAGTTAACAAATAGCAACTACCACGGGATGACCAACAGTTAATTAGGACTCTTAAGTGTATTACTAAAAAAGTTTTGAGTTTGATCTATTTGGGTTGTTAATAAGGATAATTACTAAGGAAATTTACTTGACTATCAATTTTAAAACCCATAAAAATTAATTTTGGTGTATGTAAACTCCCAAACACTATAAAGATGACTATTAAATTAACTTCAAGATATCAGAAGATTAGTTATCGAGGTCCACGCAAGCTCCAGAACGCCCTAGGAGTGGCCCTAAGTCAATTTCAAGGTTACGAACTTATCGGATATCTAACTAAACTCACGGTCACCGACCATTCTGAATTTCTATGCATGACTTTTAGCTTTCATATTTCTCCTTAAAAAAAAAAAAAACACACCTTTCATGACATAAAGCAACCAATAATTCAACCCACTTTCTGATCTATATCAAAACTATAATTCTACAATTTTCCTTGTCTCTCTCAGATTTCTCCACCAATAATGGATTCAAGCAGCACTGAAATCTCCCATGATTTTCCTCCCTTCTTCAAAGTTTACAAAGATGGTCGAGTTGAGCGTTACCAGATCCTGGACGGTGGCGCCAAGCATATTCCCACCGGCCTGGATCCGACACCAGGGGTCCAGTCCAAAGATGTCGTGGTCTCGTCTGACACCGGCGTGAAGGCCCGTATCTTTCTCCCGAAAATCGACGGCCCAGGCAAAAAATTTCCACTTCTGGTTCATTACCATGGTGGTGGCTTCTGCCTGGGGTCACCCTTTGATTCAATCTCTCAAAATTTTCTCACTTATTTAGTGACCCATGCCATTGTCATAGCCATTTCTATTGACTATAGACTAGCTCCTGAGCACCCTTTACCAATAGCATATGATGACTCATTGGCCGGGCTGCAGTGGATTGCAACCCACTCCAATGGGTCGGGACCGGAACCGTGGTTGAACGAGTATGCTGATCTTGGGCGGGTTTTTTTGGTGGGTGAGAGTGCTGGAGCCAATATAGCGCATTACGTGGCGGTCCAAGCCGGCACAATTGGATTGGAGGGATTGAAAATAAATGGGGTACTCATAGTGCATCCATTCTTTGGAGGTAAAGAAGTTGATAAGATGTATAAGTATTTGTGTCCAAGTAGTAGCGGGTGTGACGATGACCCGAAATTGAACCCAGGAGCAGATCCAAACTTGAAGAACATGGCCTGTGATAGGGTGTTGGTGTGTGTGGCGGGCAAAGATTGGCTTAGAAACAGAGGTGAAGCTTACTATGAGACTTTGGCAAAAAGTGAATGGGTTGGGAAAGTTGAATTTTATGAAAGTTCAGATGAAGATCATTGCTTTCATCTGTTCAATCTCAACAGTGAGAAGGCTGTACCATTGATGAAGAAAATGGTTGATTTCATCACTCAAGAGTAGGCTAAAGTTGGGTTTGTTTTTGTTTTGTTTTTCACTTCTTGTACGATTGTATCATGTCAGAAGGCTGTACCGTGGCAATAATTCATCTACCATTCCAAGTTCCAACTAGAAAAGTAGATTGATTCTTTATGACTTGTAGTTAGTTCTTATCTTTGTTTTAAGCTCTGTTTCCTGAAGTGACCTGAAAAAATTTATATAATCAACACTGTCTTTCTAATCTCTCCATCAAATTCTGCAAATGGATTCAAGCTCTAAAGAAATAACCCATGATTTCCCACCTTTATTCAAAGTTTACAAAGATGGCACCGTAGAGAGGTACATGATTGCAGACTATGTTCCATCGGGCCATGATCCAACAACCGGAGTCCAAACTAAAGATGTTGTGGTTTCGGCAGAAACCGGCGTAAAAGTCCGTCTTTTCATCCCAAAATTGGACGGCCCGAGTAAAAAGCTTCCAGTCCTGGTCCACTTCCACGGTGGTGGCTTTTCCATTGGATCCCCCTTCGACACACCTTCAAACAACTTTCTCAAGTGCTTGGTCTCTCAAGTTGAGATCATAGCCATATCCATTGACTACCGGCTGGCCCCTGAGAACCTTCTTCCAATAGCCTATGATGACTCATGGGCCGGGCTGCAGTGGGTAGCTACCCACTCTCTCGGGCTAGGACCCGAGCCATGGCTTAACGAGTTTGCGGATCTTGGACGGGTTTTCCTGGCGGGCGAGAGCGCCGGAGCAAATATAGCCCATCAAATGGCAATCCGAGCTGGCACTACTGGATTAGTCGGTTCTAAAGTTATCGGGGCACTAATAGTGCACCCGTTCTTTGTTGTTGGCAAAGAGGTTGATGAAATGTACAAGTATATATGTCCGACAAGTAGCGGATGTGACGATGACCCGAAATTGAACCCGGAAGTGTATCCGAATTTGAAGAGTATGGGGTGTGATAAAGTGCTGGTGTTTGTTGCAGAGAAAGATAGGCTTAGAAATATAGGTGTGGGTTACTATGAGAGTTTGGGTAAAAGTGGGTGGGCAGGGAAAGTTGAATTATATGAGACTCTTGGAGAAGGTCATTGCTTTCATTTGTTTAATCCCAATAGTGAAAAGGGCATGGCTTTGATGAAGAAAATGGTTGATTTCATCACTGAAGATTAAATAGTTGATGATGATCTTGTTGAAAGAAAAAAAAAAAAATGTTCTTTGGGTGTTATGAAATAGTAATAGTAAATAATGAGTCGTGTATCATTTCTTGTACCCTATTTAATCTTATAATTTGAAATAATATTGGGTTTTGTACTTCTATTTATATCTTTGCAAATATTATTATATAAATTATTTTATTATAGATTTGCAAATATAAGAGTGTTAGTGTAAATCATGAGTGCATTATTTTAATTGTCATACAATGGGATACATAATAACAATTTTTTTTTTTTTTATGACTGGGGTTGTTCGGGTCTGCTTGCGCACACCTTAATTAATTCCATGGGATATTGGAACTATTGATCGAGTAAGAACTCTAGTGGTCATTCTTATTAAGGATTGTGGGGACTCGAACTTAGGAGATCATGTTAGAAGTTGGCCCAGATACTTCAACTAATCCCTTGGAACTACTGGTTAGACAAGATCCAGTGGCCACCTTTATTAGCGGTTGTGGGGACTCAAGCTCGGGAGACCATATTAGAAGCTGGCCTAGACACCTCAACTAATCCTCTAGGATCTTAGAACTACCGATCGGATAAGAGCTCTAGTGGCCATGGGCTAGCTTGCACACACCTTAACTAATCTCCTGAGACCCTAAAACTATCGACTAGGTAAGAGCTCCAATAATCATCCCTATTAGGATCGTGAGGACTTAAACTCGGGAAACAATTTTAGATCCTCTTGCACTTTTACTATCAAAACGACTTGAACTTAGGAAACAATTTTAAATCATTCTTTGCTCTTTTACCATTAGGGCACCTAGTGGGATACGTAATAACAGATGCACTTCCACTATTAACACTCTTCAAAATAGATTATCATTGGGATTATGGTTAATACTCGTTAAAATAAGATAAGACTAGTCTTTTGGATAATTGGTAATCTTAATGGATGCAAATTCGAAAAAAAGATTTTGGGATTACCAAAATTTGTCTATGGTAATCTATCAAAAAGTTTATGCAAGCAAAGGCCAGGTGCAGAGCAAGAGCACCATGCAATAAGGTTGTATCAAATGCATTATCTCAATTCATTAAAGGAAGATTGTGACTTGCCGACAATAGTAGATAAAATTTTAAGCTGGAAGAAGCAGCCAAAAGCCAAATCATTAAATTGATGAACACTAATAAGTCTACCAAAATAAATATCATAAATATTTACCTACCATTCCAACAACATAAAATTAATTTCAGCGACTTTTAGGTCCAATATTTAAGAGTTTTTATATCACACTCTTGCTTGAAGATAACCCAATTCAAGTTCTCAAAAAGTCAGTTCTCTTTCTCACTCACTCAAGCTCAAAAATGGATTCAAGCTCAGATGAAATAACCCATAATTTTCCACCCTTCATCAAAGTTTACAAAGATGGCCATGTAGAGAGATACCAAATCTGGGAATCTGCTGAGGCAGGCCATGACCCAATTACAGGGGTCCAGTCCAAAGATGTTGTGATTGTGCCGGAATCGGGCCTTAAGGCCCGTATTTTCATCCCGAAGATCGACAGTGGGGGTCAAAAGCTCCCGCTTCTTATTCACTACCACGGTGGGGGCTTCTGCCTTGGATCAGCCTTTGGGGTTAGAACCAAGAATTTTCTCACTTTATTGGTCTCCAAAGCCAAAATCATTGCCATTTCAATTGACTACAGGTTAGCCCCTGAGCATCCTTTACCAATTGCTTATGAAGATTCATGGGCCGCTTTGCAATGGGTTGCAACCCACTGTAATGGGCTTGGGCCCGAACCATGGATTAACGATCATGCGGATCTCGGGCGGGTCTTTCTCGGGGGCGAGAGTGCCGGAGCCAACATTGCCCATTATGTGGCAGTCCAAGCGGGCATTACCCAGTTGGTGGGCTTAAAAGTTGAAGGTGTGCTTATAGTACACCCATTCTTTGGGGGTAAAGAGCCAGATGAAATGTACAAGTTTTTGTGTCCTACAAGTAGCGGATGTGACGATGACCCGAAATTGAACCCGACAGTGGATCCGAACTTGAATAGGATTGCCGGTGAGAGAACGCTTGTTTGCGTGGCGGAGAAAGATTGGCTGAGAGATAGAGGCGTGGCATATTATGAGAGTTTGGGTAAAATTGGGTTGGCTGGTGGTAAAGTTGAGCTCTTTGAGACTATGGAGGAAGGCCATTGCTTTCATATGTTTAACCCCAATAGTGAGAAGGCTGAACCTTTGATTATGAAAATGATTCACTTCATCAATCAAAACTAGTTGTTTTTTCGGGTGTTAATTAATGATTTATATTAATCAACAATTACTTGTTTTCAATTAATACATATCATAGCAATAATGTTATATCTGTAATGTTTTTATTCTGTATCGATGTATGTCGGATCCAGACAAATGAGGTGTTGTCCTATGTCCTCCTTCTAGCGTCGACTTTTTAACTGTTAATGTATGTTGGATCCAGTGGATTCTTAGAGGTATTATTCGCTTTAAGTTGTCAATGTTCAAACCTTAGGTGTTGTTTAAGATCATATACTATTTACGTGTTGTTTTTTCACTTAATAGAAAGGTAAAAAATTCCTAAATTATGAAATCTTGAGTACTTTTTAGTTTTTGTACATACATAAATTTAATTACCTAAAAGGCCCCTATATGATAACAAGAAGACTTTTAATACATTTTATTTAAAATGTTATCTATATTAATACAATTAATGTAGTTTATGGTGTTTAGAATCTAGTGGTGGTTGTCAGATTCCGATGGTCAGAAAAATTTCCAGACTATATTTGGTGACAAAGTTGGTATCAAAATGATTCTAATTTAAAGCTCTATCCTTACATTTTTTTTTTTTTTTTTTTGACAAAAGATTTAGCATTAGGCTAGGATTTGACAAAAAATATTCAGGTTGCAACACTTTCTTGATTAGATCCGACCAAAATCCACCTTTATTCCAACTAAAAGTTATGTAAATAGCTAAATTGTGAAAAATCGATCATTTTGATTCAGATTTTATTACCATTATACATTGATAAATTTTACGGTTGCGAGATTCCAACCGATTGATGGATTTTTTAGATATTATTGTATGATTTTTTTTTTTTTTAACCTTTCTGTATAACTATAATTAAAAATATTAGCCTATACTAGATCAATAATTAATATTATTGATCTTGAGAGATTTCATTTTATTATATTTGCTATTATTTAATAAATATACATAATAAATAATACTACCGTATAATCAAAGTTAATTAGTGTATTGATTTCTTAAATAAAGTAATTATATATTAACATAATTATAATAAATACAAGGACAAATTGGGAAAGAATGAATCTGGAAACGGAGCGTAGTGATGTAATATGGATCCCAATCCAAATCGTAGGACTAGAAAAAAAATAGGTCCCACTAAATGGTCGGTTCTGATTATTCAGGATGTTCCGTCGCTATCTCCGGACCCGAATCCGTATTGTATTACTGATTAAGTAATCTCTCGTCTCCATCAAGCCGTTAAATAATGTTAGTTAAAAAACCAAGACTTTACGTGGCATTCCGTCAATGATGATTGCGTATCCTCCCCCGGTACACTGAAAAACACCTTATAATTTTTCAATTTTTTATTTAAAAAAAAAAACAAAAGACACACAGTGAGAGAGACTGGTTGGTAGCTATTGTTGTTGTTTGCTCTGTTTCGCTTGGTCGCTCCGTCTTCTTCAAGGTACGAATTCGATCTTCTCAAATTCAAATTTCTTGAAGAAAAACTTAATTACGTTGAAAAATTGGAGAAGCGGATTAGTGATTTTTGTTCGGTACGTTACAAGTCAAATAGATTCTTGTTGTGAAATCTGTAATTGGTTTGTGTGATCGATTGTTGATTGATTGGAGGAGTTATTGATAAGTTCGGGGATTTTGGATTATGGCTACGGCCGGTGATGAGGACGGCGATGCGGTGCTGAGTGACGTGGAAGGTGAGATCGACGTGAGAGATTCATCTGATGAGGAGGTTTCTATTGAGAGGTATCGTGATGTTCTCGCAGAGTTAAATCGCGAGAGGCAAGCGCGACAAGCGGCGGAGAATTCGGCGGCCGAGTTGAGTGAGAAATTCAATCGGTTGAAGGCTTTAGCTCATGAGTCAATCAAGCGGCGAGACGAGTACTCCAGACAGAGAGACGAAGCGCTGCGTGAAAAGGAAGAGGTTACGAGATCGAATGAGAGGTTGTCGGCAGAAGTTTCTGAAGCTAACAATGCGAAAGATGAGATTTTGAAGCAGTTAGATGAAATAACAAAAGGAAGAGATGGATTAAAATCGGAAATTGAGAATTCAGCTCATATGTTAGTGACCGGAATTGATAAAATATCAGCAAAAGTTAGTAATTTTAAGAATTTCTCGGCTGGTGGATTGCCCAGGTCGAGTAAATATACTGGATTGCCGGCCGTTGCTTACGGGGTGATAAAGAGAACGAACGAGATTGTCGAAGAGCTTGCTAGACAAATTGATTCGACTGCAAAGTCTAGGAATGATGTGAGAGAGCTGATGGAGCAGAGAAATTTCGAAATTGCTATTGAGGTTTCAGAACTTGAAGCCACAATTAGTGGATTGAGAGAAGAGGTTGCAAAGAAAAGCAATGTTATTGAGGGTTTGGAGAAGAGTATGAAAGAAAAAGATGAGAAGATTGCTGAGCTTGAAAATCAAGGTTTGGAGCTGAAGCAGTTAGTGGGTGAGCATGATGATAAGTTGAGGAATTTGGAAACTAAAATGGAATCTCAGTGGCCTTTGTTGGTTGATCAGTTGAATTATGTATCCAAAATTCATGACCAGGTTTATACTGCGATTAAGTTTCTTGATGATGGTAATTTGGATCAATCGGAGTTGTCTGAGTCATTATTTCTACCGCAAGCAACCGATATGGAAGAGAACATACGTGCTTCGTTAGCAGGAATGGAGTCTATATTTCAGTTAACGAGAATAGTGGGTGAGAAGACAAGGGATTTGGTAGAGGAGAAGAATCTTGAGTTGAAGAATTTGAATGAAACATTAGGCCAATTGGTTAAGGAGAAAGAACATATTGGTTCACTGCTTAGGAGTGCTTTGTCCAAGAGAATTACAGTAGATACATATTCAAAAACAAATGAGTTGTTTCAGGTAGCAGAGAATGGTTTAAGAGAAGCTGGGATAGATTTTAAGTTTAGTAAGCTTCTAGACGGGAAGGTTCCAGCTTCTCATAATAAAGCTGTTCTGGAGACAGAGGAGGATGAAATATACACTTTGGTGAGTATTCCTTTGACTTGATTTATGAAGTGTGCTTTCTTTTTTATTGGTTGAATTCATTTTCTTAGCAGTAATTTGTCCTTAACGAGGTCCTAATACATTTACTCAGGCTGGTGCTTTGGAGAATATTGTGAAGGAATCTCAACTGGAGATCATTGAGCTACAGCATTCTGTTGAAGAATTAAGGTACTTTCTTTTGTTCAAAAACTCATAAAGCTGCTAGTATCTTTAAACACATATGCACATTCAAAATTCACTGAGCAGATATTATTCTGTTTGGGTTACCACTTTAATATTTTAAGGGCAGAGTCAAACTTACTTAAAGAGCATGTGGAGTCTCAAGCCAAGGAGCTCAGCCATAGAATGCGAAGAATAGAGGAACTCGAAGAGAAGGAGAGAGTGGCAAATGAAAACGTTAGTTATGTCTTTTGTTGAATGTTGTACAACAATGAAAGTTACGGTAATATTTAGTAAATGATAAGCATTCTGTGAAACCATTTGTTGAATGGTCTACTTACTAGAGAACCGTGCATTTTTTATTACCTTGAGTTATGATTTGGCCTATCTCTATGAAGGTTGAGGGGCTTATGCTGGACATTGCTGCTGCTGAAGAAGAGATTACCAGATGGAAAGCAGCAGCTGAGCAAGAGGCTGATGCAGGCAAAGGTGTGGAACAAGAGTTTGTGTCACAGGTATGCTTGTTAATTTGTTGAATTGTTCTTGTGAGTCCTGTGAAAGATACTTTCTTGCCTGTGCTGTAACTTTTGTTATAATAATTAATGTACAGATAATCTGAGAAGCCATGGATGAGTATTTATTGATGCTAACTTCTATCAGTAATTGTATAACTTTTTCTACAAAATTATTACCATTGAGTAATATGATTGGTTAATGTTTACTATTGAAGAAGTAAATAATTTCTATAACTAGAATGGTATAAGGTAATCTTTGTTGAAGAAACAAGAGGATATTATTTTATACTAGAATTCTACTGCATACTGTGTAGGATTGGGTGGAAAAATGTGATATGCTAGAACTATAAACTGTAGATAAGAAATTTTGTATAAAGCTTGTAATTATTTTCTATACGTCAGTTAACTATATAAGCCAAATCCACACTAACTTTTGTCTGAACACCATTGGAAGCCTGATATAGTCTGGTTCTAACTTTTCTCCAGTTTCTCTAGATGCATCAGCAAGATGCTACTTTGAAGGGCTATTGTTCTGTGGACACTTAAGGCATTTTGGTCATGTTACTACGTATAGGATGCCACACATGACAGCTTGATGTTACACAGCTAGATTATGCATTGAATTACCCCTTTGATATTTTTCTTTTTTCTCCCCCCTCCTTTTGTTTCAGTAGGTTTGCATAGAAGTTCTGATATATTCACTATACATTATGGTTTCTGCTGTATCATGCAGTTGTCAGCACTTAAACAAGAACTAGAGGAGGTGAAACAGGCTTTGGTGGAATCAGAGAAGAAGCTGAAATTCAAAGAAGAGACAGCTGCTGCTGCTATGTCTGCAAGAGATGCGGCTGAGAAATCATTGAGGTTGGCAGATGTGAGAGCTTCTAGGCTGAGGGATAGAGTTGAGGAGCTCAGCCGTCAGCTTGAAGAATATGAAACAAGGGAAGACTCAAGAGGCCGAAATAGAACTAGATATGTGTGCTGGCCATGGCAATGGCTTGGTATGGACTTTGTGGGAATCCGCAAGCTTGATTCACAACAACAGACGTCGAATGAAATGGAGCTCTCCGAACCCCTTGTCTGAATATAAGTATTTCTTTTTCTTTTTCCTTGTTACTGTATTTATATCTTAAACTCGAAATGTCACAAAAATGAAAAGAAAAAATATGGTAGCTTATAGAACAACTTCATTCTTCAAGGCTCCCAAAAGTTGCCATGAGTGAATTCACATTTTTGCACATGGTAGCTCGCTGCCGAAAGTAAAATTTCTTGTTATCACTTGATCATGACTGATTTCTTGATACTTCTTACCACCATTTGGTTTGCAATAAAAAGATGAACATAGTTTTTGGCTGAGTTCCTCTGTT